TTTAAAAGGTTTATTGAACACAAGGGCAGAAGGTCAAACAAAGTAAACGTGCGTCATGTCACGTAACGGTAAATCAAAAAAAAAAAAATTTGCAAAAAAAAAAAAAAACATTACATTCATAAATTATAATAAATATAATAAGTTAGAAAAGTATTATAAAACCTTCTCTTGTCATTCGTAATCTAAAAACAAAAAAGAAAAAAAAAAAGACGGAGTTCATGCTTGATGATTATAATTGAATAAATCTGCATTTACCATTCTTTCATGACCTTTATATAATAAGCTGACAATTTTCATCTTTCTTCATCAAATAAAACATTCTTTTTTTTTCATATTGTTAACAAACTTCCTCCACTCTTTATTATTTCTGCTCAATAAAACTCCTCCGATATTTTTTTTCTCATTATAAGTGATGGGTAATAGACCATCAAATAGTGTTAACGATGAATCCGGTGCCACACGTCAAAATGCTTATGCTCGTTTCTTGCCAAACACTCAACCAACTCGATCCGATACTGTATATCGTATAGTTGGAACACGTCTGAATGGTAATCTCAAATACCCTCTTCCAAGTAATCTTGAAGAAGAAAAGCATTGGCTACAAGATCCTCATTATTTCATTAGACATATGTGGCAAAGCAATTATAGTGCTCCTATTGAAGACAAACTCAGAGAAGGAAACGCTAAAATCCTTAATATATGGTATGTTTATTTTATCTAAACAACAAAAATATAAATATATATATATATAAATATATATATAAATATATATATAAAGATATTGATGTTTATATTTGTTCTTACAATATGCAGCTGTGATTATGGCACTTGGGCTCTCGAAATGGCTTCTGATTATCCCAATTCCCATTTTATTGGTGTCGACGTCACCCCAACTTTTCCTTCTGCTGTGACCAAACCCAATGTACGGTTCTTACAATGTAATGTGTTAGATGGTCTACCATTCGATTCTAACACGTTCGATTTCGTTCTTGTTCGACTTTTTGGAAACACTTTTACTGAAAGAGATTGGGAGGATAAAATTATTAATGAAATCGTAAGATTAACTAAACCAGGTGGTTGGGTGGAATTAACTCAGGTTGATTCAAAATACTACAATTGTGGTCCAAATTGCGAAAGATGGAATGATGCATGTACGTGGATTATTTGGTCTATCACCATTATATCGATATTATCGATATTATTTCTTAACTGATCTTTTTAATGTTATTTTCAGTGTTAAACCATCTAAGACTAAAAAATATAAATGGTTCCATTGGTGAAAGTTTTGGAAGGTTATTGACTTCAACGGGACAAATGTCCCGAATTCGACATGAAGTTGTCATAGGCCCGGTTGGAAGTTGGGGTCACCGAGCAGGTGAATTGGGTGCATCTTACGCTCGTCAACTTTCTGGAAAAGTGAAGCCATGGGTAATTTCTTATCTAGACATTACTGAGGAAGAGTATAACGAAATGATGATCAAAGCAGAACAAGAGTTCAATATTCATAGGACCTATTCATCAACGCATAGGTATGTTGGTCAAAAAATTAATTCCTCTTAATATCTATAAAGGAATATTTGAAAAGGAATATTTTGTAAAGGATACATATAGTATATATGTATATCTTTTTTTTTTTTTTTTTTGTGATAAGTATTTAACGTTATTTATCACAAATCTCGCTATTTATATATATATATATATATATTTTAATACTTATTTTAATTCTTGCCGTTTTAAAAATATCAAGGGAATTACCTCCTTTTGATTTTAAACCTTTCTAAAAAAAATTTTTTATGGTACCTTCCTTAAGTTCTTAGAAAATATTTATTTCTGTTGCTTTTAGTTTCAATAAGATACTGAAATTTAGATAAATTTATATATAGCTTTGACAAAAATTAATAAGAAAAAAACTATGAAACAATTTTTTTTTTAAGCTTTATGCTTGTCTTAAAAAAGCTCCTTTTATATGAAATAAAGATTTACAGCATATGGTCTTCTTTTAATGTTTTGGTTATCATTGGTAACGGAATTTTATTAATTAAATGATATCTTTGTGGGAAAGCAACTCGCATACATAATAGTGTCTTTGTGGGAAAGCAACTCGCATACATACGCAGTTCTGTAAACGTCGGTCACATGCGCACCCTGAATACTAAGACAATCGTTAACTTTATACGTACGTAATAATAAATAATAATAATAATAATAATAATAATAATTAATAATAATAATAATAATTGTTTATTATGTAATATTCATTCACATGCTTATTTTTTTTCAAATACGAGAATATGTATTCACCTCACTTAAACATTTTCTCCGTGCTTAATTACTATGCGTCGTTACCTAAAGCTATGTACCTTAAGTCACAATTAGACATCAATACAATCTCGAAAAAAAAACAACTACCAAATTGCCATCGATAGCATCTGATCTATAAAGTTTTTTTTTATCATATTATTACAAAATAATTTTCAACTTAGTTCAATACTATATATCGAAGGCTTAAATAAAGCACGATCATTTTCTACGAGTCGTGTAGCTTGTTCACATGATATAATAGAGACAATTTCCCACCATTTCCCTACCGGAGAACTATAAAATTGATTAATAACTACTCCGATATGTGAATAATTAGTAGAACCAATCAGAAATGGTGGTAAATTCGATAGGGACATGTCCATGGATACGTAATCATATAGTAATAATGTTTGTTTGTAATCGATCTAAAAAAATCGGTTTAGTCAACTATGCCAAAAATATGTATT